GAGCATCTCCAGGTGCCCACCCCTTCCAGCCTGGTTCTGCTGCTCTGGGCCCCCTCGGTTTCCTAGCATCTTCCCTCTTATCAAACCTGTTCCCTGTCTCCACGGTGACACTGCCTCACCCAGCTTCCTTGGGTGGTCTGGTTGCCTCACAGGCTAAAGCTCTGAGAACATTTTCCTAATGTGCAGCCAGAAGCTTCCACTTCCTATGCCCAGGGCTACCCCTTTCATATTGCCACACCCTTCACTTGAGCAGCCTTTCTGTCAACATCCACCCCATCCCTCCCACCATACCATGCTATGTCCGGCCGAGAGCACACATGGCCCCTCTGGGTATCCCAAGGCCTACTGGGAAGAAAGTTCCAGGGTAGACTGTTGGCCACCTTCCACACCCTTTGGCTGTCAGTGACAGCAGTTGAGGAAGGATGCTATTGAGGGGCTCAGAGCAGCAGAACCAGACTGGAAGGGGTGGGCACCTGGAGACCTCCTCCAGGAGTTGGCTGAGATCCAAGGACCCAGGGAGATGTTAAATGAAAAATTATTAAGAAATTTAGAATGGCTATAGCAGAGAGTCAAGCCTGGGCTCTCCAGAGTATGGGGCCCTGTGCAACTGGACAGTCCCCGTGCCCTGAACTTAGCCCTGGAGAGCTCAGTGCGTGTGTTGTAGTATGTGTGCTATGATGTATGTATGTGGTTTACATGTGACATGGTGTGAGTATGATATGTATGGTGTATATGGTCTATGTATATGTTTTGTGTATGTGTGTGTATGATATGGCATGCATGTTATGTGTATGCATGTGGTGTGGTACATGGTATTTGGGTGATGTGTACTGTATGTGATGTGTACATGTGTAGTATGTGGTATGTGTGTGGTATGTATGGTATGTGTATGATGTGTATAATGTAGTGTGTGTGGTATGTGGTGTGTGTGGTATGTGTATAGTGTGTGTGGTGTAGTGTGTGTGATATGTGGTGTGTGTGGTATGTGTATAGTGTGTATAGTGTAGTGTGTGTGGTAACTGATGTGTGTGTGTCATGTATGTGTGTGGTGTGTGTGTAGTGTATGTGTGGTATGTGGTGTATGTGGTATGTGGTGTGTGTGGTATGTGGTGTGTGTGTCATGTATGTGTGTGGTGTGTGTGGTAGTGGTGTGTGTGGTATGTGGTGTGTGTGGTATGTAGTGTGTGCGGTATGTGGTGTGTGTGTGGAATGTGTATGTAGTGTGTGGTATGTAATGGCATTCATGAGTGTGATGTGGCATACTTGTGATGTATGGTGTATATACTGTGTGATGTCGTGTACTCATGGGATGATGTCATAGGTGACATTCTTAGAATGACAGTGGTAGAGCAGCATTGTGCTTAGGCCTGGGTATCCACTTCAGCCACAGATTAGATAGATCCCAAAACTGTGTCCCTGATCACCAGATTCTATCTGAACTAGGAGACAGGTCAGACAGTGAGCAGGGATCAGGAGAAGACAGGCTTGTCCAAAGTCGCACAGCCAAAGGAAGCTACTTTCTTCCTCCAAGAGGGCCTCTGTCTTTTCTGATAGGTAGATGCCCCAGGATACTTTGTAACCTTTGCTTAGCCAGAGCTCCAACATGCAAAGTGCTGAATGGAAGAAAGTATCTACCTGTAGGACACATGGATGCCCAGGCTCTGAAAGACAACATAGGAAGGTTCATCTAAGCACCCCCAGTATCTCAGAATCCTGTGGACAAGCCAATAGAGGCACAACCGAATCTTCAGTACCCAAGGGTCTAGGTGCCCTCCAATTTCCCTCAACCCCAGGCATGCCAGAAATGTCAGAGCTGTGTCCTCTGGGTTGCACAGCTGGTCTCCTCTGACAGGCATAGGTCAAAGTTTTGGACTTGACAGGCCAGACTCTGTGCCTGGAGTGTGTGCCTGTCATTCCTTCCCTCTGTTCCCTAGAGGGTCCCAGAGCTACCCCTCAGCCCTATGGCCACAGTGTGGAGGGCCTGAGCTTGGCCTCCCTTCCCTAATCCTTGCAGCGTTCATCTGCTTTCTCCTTCTCCTGGCACCAGCCTCACCCCCTTTCCCCCACCAGACACCATTTGAAATCCACCCTCTGGCCCCACCTGGCCCCTCTACAGCAGCTGGGCTGGGTGCTTGTCTGGGGCAGGATGTGTGGAGGGGGAGCGGGTGTGTGTGGGTGCAGCCCCCTCCTCCCCAGGGAGAACAATGAAGCCGCTGGCCTTGGTGGAAAGGTGGAGGGAGTGGGTGGGGGGGCATGGAGCTGCATCAGAGCCTCTGAGTGCGGCCCCCGGGGGGACAGCTGAGTGATGAGGCCTGAGTCACATGCCCCATGTGCTCCTTGAACTCCCGCTCCCCTGCCTGTCAGGACACATCCAGAATTGCACAGGGTAAATATTTAGAGGTAATCGTATTTTTTTTTCTTTGTGGCACCTCAAACCTTCTCCTTCCTGAGGATGAGCCAGGCCTGGGATTTGAGAGAAAGAAATCCAGGTGGACTCAGGATTGCCTCTGTGAGCATCCCTTCAGAGTTGAGAGGCGAGCATCCCTTCAGAGCTGGGGGATCCTGAGGGTTGAACCCAGGCTAACATCCACCAAGGAGCCCACTTAGTTCCACTGGCCTTCGCTGTGACCATTCCTGCTGATGTCGCTGAGCCCACCCATCCCAGCCCCTCAGGCCTGCAGATGCCCTTCCATTCCCACAGGACAGCGGGGAGGGAGGAGGCAAGAGCAGCACATGTTGCACATGCCATTTTTTCTTGGCTTTACCCTGCATGGAATGTCTTCCAAGGAAGACATGGAGTCGGAGCCCAAGCTTTATCAAAGATAAAACATTTGAGACTAAACAGTCTTTTTATAGACTGGGCTCTCTCAGCACACGTCCCGCACCGTTCCCAGCCTGCCTCTCTGAGCACGCATGGAAAGCAAACCTTCTGGGCACACAGAACCTAGAAGGTTTGAGGGTGAATTGTACTTCTGAGGAAAGGGGGGAAGGCCTTCTGCGGAACTTCAGGAAGGCCTATGCTGCTCAGTGATTTGATCTACCTCTGTAGCCCTAGGGAGCAGCACACAGAGACAAGAGTCAGCTGGTAGGAGTTTGAGATGGGATGGGGCCCAAATGTGTCAGGCATCTGTCTGTAACATCGCCACTCAGTCAGGCACAAACAGAAGAAAATGTTAACATTGGGCAGTACCCACAAATCAAGTCGTCGGCTCTCCCCCGCCAGGTCTGTAGAGCTGAGACTGTTGTACGTAAGACACCAAGGGGAGAATGGAAGGAAGAAGGCAAATACTTATGAACTATGTACTCTTTACCAGGCAGTCTGTAAACATTAGCTCACCTAATCCTCACAAAGACCTTACCTATTAATCCTTTTTTTTTTTTAATGGATGAGGAAATGGAGGCTCATGATGGTCAAGGTGGGTAACCAGAGGAGACATTTGATTTGGGGGCTCTCTGACTCCATTCAACCCTCTTTTGTTTGTTTTTAAATTTTACTTTTTAAACTTTTGTGTGTGTTGGGGGAGAGGAGTGTCCAGGGGACACTGAACTAAGTTTGGACATTGGTTCTCTCCTTCCATCATGTGAGATGGGGGAATGAGCCTAGGCCATTAGCCTCAGCAGGAGGTCCCACCCCCGGTGGTACGCGCCCCCCCCCCCCCCGTGCCTCCCCTGCCTCCCTCCCCCGCCCCAACAAGTCGCTGGCCCTGTATGTTTGCTTGGATGTAAAATAACAGTTCTCCTGGGATTATGGTAAGGTTTAAATGGGATTATTTGGATAAAGGCTAGTTAGTGCCTAGTATTAAAGTGGGGCTTCAGTAATGTTGATGGAATTATAGTGACGGTTTTGCGTGCAGCATCTTGGGGAGCAGTAACATAAGTTCTTTTGGATAATATAGGTACGTTAGAATGCTTTAGATGGTGACTACTCAGCTTTGCCCATCCAGATAGATACTCAGGTACCTGGGCAGCTTCTGGGAAGTTCCAAGAAGTCAAGAAAGGCAGAGGTCTGGAGAAGTAGAGCCAAGAAGAGGGGGCTGGCAGAGACCTCAGCCTGCAGGGAAGCCCACCATTACTGAGCAGGGCAACACATGTGACTGGGGAAGAAACTGGGTTCAGGAACATCAGAGCCTGCTACATGGGTAGTGACCCTGGGTCTCAGAATGAAGACTGTATTCACTACGGACCTTACCTCCTGCTATGAAATCACCTTCTTCTTCTTCTTCTTCTTCTTCTTCTTCTTCTTCTTCTTCTTCTTCTTCTTCTTCTTCTTCTCCTTCTCCTTCTCCTTCTCCTTCTCCTTCTCCTTCTCCTTCTCCTTCTCCTTCTCCTTCTTCTTCTTCTTCTCTTCCTCCTCCTCTTCCTCCTTCTCTTTCTACTCCTCCTCCTCCTCCTCTTTCTCCTTCTCTTTCTACTCCTCCTCCTCTTCCTCCTCCTCCTCTTCTTTTTCCTTCTTCTTCTCCTTCTTAATTATTATCATTAGTTAATATTATTAATTATTATTTTTACCCCATGGCTCCTCTCTTAACAGTGAGGTGGTTTTCCTGGCTAGCCATATCTAGCCCTGGAAGAACCTGCCAAAGGAAGCATGAAAAGCAGAGGGGACAGCAGAGGGAACCAGAAAGTGATGGGTTTATTTGCTCCTAGAGTTACATGTGGCTGCTGTTGCCAGACAGCCAGTGGGGTCCAGATGGCATTGTGGGAAGCTGGGCAGTGGTGGCGCACGTCTTTAATTACAGCACTTGGGAGGCAGAGGCAGGCAGATTTTTGAGTTGGAGGTCAGGCTGGTCTACAGAGTGAGTTCCAGGACAGCCAGGGCTACACAGAGAAACCCTGTCTCGAAAAACAAACAAACAAACAACAACAACAACAAACAAATGGCATGGTGGGAAGATGGAGGAACAGTGGGAAACCCTGGGGTCCCCCGAACAGAGCTGGAACTGACCATCACAGACAGTACAGACGGGTAACCATAGGCTGCTCTCCACTTTCTCTCCACCCAGAGACCTCAGTATGAACAACCTCACAGAGCTTCAGCCGGGTGTCTTCCACCGCCTGCGCTTCCTGGAGGAGCTGTGAGTTGATGGGTGGGCAGGAGTTGGGGTGTGGGAGGGAAGGGTGTGTGGGTGGAACTCTCTGGTCAGCAGCTGTAGGGACCTGGGTTCTCCAGAGCAGGCTGGAACTCGAGGGAGAAGGCAGAAAGCAGGGCTCGGGAAACAGGTGTTTAGTTGAGATCTGATACATGGGCAAATTCCTGAGTCCCAGTGTTAAGCCATGAGGCATTGGAGGTGTGAGCCAGTGCTCTCTGAAGCTCTTTCTCCTGCCCTTTGTTTTAATTGAACTAAATTAATTAATTAGTTTGTTTGCTTATTAAGACAGGGTCTCACTATATAATTCAGAGTGGTCTGAAGTTCACGGTTATAGCTCAGACGGGTCTTGAACTTAATACTTATCTTGCTTCAGCCTCCTGAGGACTGGGATTTTAGGGATGTGTCACCATACTCAGCATAGCTTTCCTTCTTTAAAAATTTTATGAATATGGCTGGGTTCATGTATCTCTGTGCACAACATGCATGCCTGTTGCCCTGGGAGCCAGAAAAGGGCATCAAAGCCCTTGAAATTGAAGTTATAGATGGTTATGAGAGCTGCCCCATGGGTGCTGGGAATTGAACCCACTGTCTGGAAGAGCAGGCAGTGTTCATAAGCCCTGACTCATCTCTCTAGGGCCTAGCTTTCACTCATGATCCCACCTTTCCCTGAAAATCACCTTTGAACTTTCATCCCTAATATAAAGGCCTGCAGGAAGGAAAGTTCCATGTAGGCAGAGCTGGTGGTAGGCAGAGGAGCCGGGTTTAAAGACAGCAGAGGTCATTTTGAGGTGGGCGTGGCACAGCTGGGATGGGAATCTAAAGGAGAGCTAAGGCATTTAGTAAGCCCAGCTTTCTGTCTCCCACTCCCTGAGAAGGGGCTAGCCCTGTTTTAAAGCCCCCCCCCAAAGGGAGCAACCCACCACCTCGGCCCCCATCACAGAACCCAAGGGTGGAGAACCCAGCTATCATCTTGTAAAACAACAAATGTCAAATAAACAGACAGAAGTAATAGCCCATCAATGGTGGAGATCAGCCAGGGCCTCGGGTGCTCTGGCTTTGTCACTGAGCTGAGTCTTCCTTGTCAAAGCTGGCTGTGGTGGAGCATGCCTCCAGTTCTTGCACAGGGGAGGCTGAGGCAGGAGGGTTGTGAACACCAGGTCATCCTGGACTGCTTAGTGAGGCCCTGTCTAAAACCAACAATGACAAAACCCCAAACAACATCAACAACAAAACAACAACAACAACACACACACACACACACGCAAAAAAAAAAAAAAAAAAAAAAAAACAAGCCTCAGTTTTCCTTATCTAGAATTCTAGAGGTAATACAGATTGAGCATTTTCAATCCAAAAATCTGAAATCTGAAAAAATTTTAAGACAGGGTCTTAGTATGTAGCTCAGGCTAGACTAGAATCCTCTATGTAGCCAAGACTGGCTTTGAGCCAGGCAGTGGTGGCGCACGCCTTTAATCCCAGCTCTTGGGAGGCAGAGGCAGGCAAATTTCTGAGTTCGAGGCCAGCCTGGTCTACAGAGTGAGTTCCAGGACAGCCCGTGCTATAAAGAGAAACCCTGTCTCGAAAGACTAAACCCCCCCCCCCAAAAAAAAGACTGGCTTTGAATTCATACTTTTCCTGCCTTATGCTTCCAAGTACTTGGATTACAGGTATGTGGTACTACATTTAAAATCTGAACTATTTTGTGCACTGGTAGGCCACCACGGTGGGCAGTTCTGCACCTGGCTTCATGTGACAAGTAGAGGAACACTGAAATATTGTAGAAGTCAAGGATTGTAGCTCAGTGTTAGGGCTATCACTTCCAGCATGCCTAAAGTACTGGCCTCCATCTTTAGTACCCCACCCCCCAAACAAGAAATTATTGCATAAAATTACATACATACAGGATCCATGTTTATAAAGCAATCACATTTTGGTCTAGTTGGTGAGATGCTCGGGGCAAAGGCGCTTACCACCAAGTCAGACAACCTAAATTCAAAGGAGAGAACCTTAGGTTGTCATTTGACTTGAGCATGTGGGTCATGGCACATACTCACACACTCGCATGAGCACATGCACGCGCGCACACGCACACACGCACACACATACAACAAATAAGTAAATGTGAAATCAAATAAAATCCAGTGAATTTATGTTTAAGCTTGGACCCACCCCCAAGACAGCTCATTCTCTAGATGCAAATATTTGGAGATCTGAAGAAAATGAAGGCCAAACACCCCTGGCTCTGAGCATTTTAAATACAGGGTACTCTGGTATCCTGCCCCTCCCAGGATTAATGGTGAAAGAGGAGCTGATGCTGTGAGGTGAACAGTGAACCACAGAGCTCAGGAAATGCCAGTGCTGCCACCCTTTGGTACACTGGGGCTGGACCTCACCCCCTTCATGGGTTCCCTGGCAACACCTCTGACCTCTGTCTTTAATTCACAGGCGGCTCTCCGGGAACCACCTTTCACACATCCCTGGACAGGCATTCTCTGGCCTCCACAGCCTCAAAATTCTGTAAGTAGAGGCTAGCCCTTTCATATGAGGACGTAGTGCTGAGGATGGCAGTTGGGGGTGGGGTGGGGTTGTCACTCAGAGTCTGGCACTGGTCCTGGTTTCCGTATCTCCATTCCTTATTTCTCTCATTATTTCTATGTCTTTTCTTTCCCTCATCTGATGTGTAAACACAGATTAAGAGGAACCCAAAGTGCCTGGCAGCCCTTCAGAGACGAGGCAACTCTGTTTACGAATGGTGATCGTTACAGGGCTCTGTTGGGGTTTCTTTTTTACATTTATTATTTATTTGTGTGTGTGTCTGTGTCTGTGTGTTGGATGAGTGTGGAGTCCAGAGGACAGCTTTGGCTCTCTCCTTCTACCACATGGGTCCCGAGGATAGAACTCAGGTCATCTGTCGGGCGTGGCAGCAGGTGCCTTTCCTCACCGACCACATCATTGCTCCTCTGTTTTAAGTTTTGAGGACTGAGGATGTAGTTCAGTTGGTAGAATGTTTGCTTAACATATAGGAGGCTCTGGGTTAGGTCCCCAGCACGGTAGAAACGGGGCATGATGGTGCATGCCTGTAATCCCAGAACTCTAAGATCCTCATATTAGAGAAGTCCATAGGATCAGATTGCCTCATCCATAAGGTGCTTGCCACGTGAGAATGAGGACCTGAGTTGAATTCCCAGCCCCGTTATAAAGCCATGTGTGATGGCTTGTGCCTATAAGCCATGTGTGATGGCTTGTGCCTACAAGCCTGGGTGATGCCTTGTGCCTATAAGCCTGGCACTTCTTAGAGGAAGAAGGTAGAGCCTGGGCTCAGTTGCTAGCCAGCCTAGCCAAAGGGGTGAACCTGACCCCAGTGAGAGACCTGGTCTCAAAACAACACCCCCCCAAACCAAACAAACCAAATCAATCCAAACAACAAAACAAATAAACAAAACAAGGAAGAAAGGAAGAAAAAAGAAAGAAAGATAGAAAGAAAGAAAGAGAGAAAGGAAAGAAAGAAAGAAAGAAAGAAAGAGAGAGAGAGAGAAAGAAAGCGGTGCCCGGTGGTGACTCATGCCTTTAATCCCAGCTCTTCAGAGGCAGAGGCAGGCAGATCTCTGAGTTTGAGGCTAGCCTGGTCTACAGATTGAGTTCCAGGGCTACACAGAGAAACCTTCTCAAAAACCAAAACAAACAAACAAACAAAAAAGCAAGGCAGAGGCGGTTGCTTCTTCCTGAAGAATGACCCCGAGACTGACCCTGTAGTTTATGTGCACATGAAATCACACACATGCAGCTGCACAGCGGTTAAGAGGCACGTGCACACACACAAATGAACTTCAAGGTCATTCTCAGCTATACAGTTTGGAAACTTTGTAAAACCCAGCACTTTAAAATTTTTCTTTGTTTTAGTTAACATACAAGATAATAGGTTTTCTTTTTACTTTTCTCTATGCTATAATCATTTTAATGTCCTTACTAAGGAGCTATCTCAAGACGCTAGCAGAGGGGAAAGTAGTATTCACTGTGACATTTTATCTGTATGTGTCATCATACTGTGCTCAGACTTACTGCCCCCCCATCCCTCAGTTTGTCCATTGATTTGTTTGTTTGTTTGTTTGTTTTTGGTCTTTGTCTTTTTGAGAGAGTATCTTTTATGTAGATCTGGCTGACCTGCATTTCAATAACTCAATAAGTAGGCCAAGATACCCTCAAATTTGTATTGATTCCCCTTGCCTCCTGCCCTTGTAAGCATGAGATACCCCATTCAGCTTTTTCCTTTTCTTTTTTCCTTTTTTTTCTAGACAAGGTTTTGCTTAGTTCAGGATAGCCCTTCCTCCTTAGCTCAGGATAGCTCAGACTCTGAGGTGCTGGGATTATAGGTACGTGCACGCCCAGCTCCATATATGCCTCCTCTTCCATGTTTCTCCTTAGTCTCTATGTCTCCAGCTCTTAGCTCTCACAATTATTGTGAAGGGATTTCCTTTGAACTGGGCTGCCTCTTCTGGTCCCTTCATATCTTCTCAGCATCAAAAGGAGCATGAAGTTGGGAGAGGACCTGGGTTCCTTCACTTAGCTCTCCTGCAAGTGAGCCTATTGTAGAGAAGGGAAGGGGACGCTGTCCACTCCCACCCTAACCCATGAGACATCTTGTCCTCACTAAGTCTGTCTTTCCAAAAGGGGTAAAGGTGGGAAGAGATAGGAAGAAGTGGATACAGAGTCTGCAGGATGATGGAGATCAGAGAGGGCACAACATCCCAGGGACCAGTGTGAGAAAAGCGAACATTTGAGGGGCTTTTCCTAAAGCAAAAGAGTGAGCTCTTGGGGCTCCCCTAAAACAGCAAGCTCCTTCCAGGTCTGCTGTTTGGTCCAGACTCTATGTGCAGCTCTCCTCTATACGGTTGTGCAGGTTTTCTGCTGCACAAAAGCATCTTAACGAGGGGAGAAGTCCTTGACCCTAGTTCCGTGCCTGGGTTTGGAATGGTATCCACCCAAAGGCAGATTCCTCTCCTGTTTTCTCAAAGTAGTTCATGACAGTGGTCTTTCCACCTTCCAGTTTCCAGGTGATTGTTGGTCTGTATCTGAGCAATCTGTGTCTCTGGTCTCCAGCTCCTCTCTCCATTGGCCTCTCGATTGCTGACTCTAGGGCTCTGAGGCCTCTGTGTATTTACTCCCTATAGCTGTCCAGGGTGCAGGGGTGGAATGGGGGAGGAGGCATCTTGAACCCACAGCATAGTGCAGGCAGACTCCTTGGTGGCTTATCTGTGCCCAGTGGCAGGTTTAGACCTGCAGTGGGATTAGAAAGGAGGGCTCTGTTTGCTGGGCCTTCAGAAGATGTGAGGCTCACATCCCGTTCCTAAGGCTCTGGCTTAGAGATGAGCCGCTTCTTTCTTCTCTGCCTGCATTAGGCAATAAATCAAAGACTGGAAGAAACCGCAGCCGACCCGCCCCCTTTCAAACAGCGGCGCCTGGCCCTAGTGAGCAGGTTGGCCAAAAGCTGTGTGTGGGAGCCAGGACAGCCAGGCTGCTCACCCCCACTCTGCCAGTGACCCCCATTTTGTTCCATCTTTTAAATGACCAATCACTAAAGCCTCGTATCTTCTGTCTGCAGAGCTCCCTTGTTCAGGGACACTAGGCAGGCTGGGGACCCCCACCCATCTCCCTCAGAGCTTCAGAGAAGGAGAGTCCAGGACTTAGTCCTGGATACTAAGTCCTTTCCAACATGCAATGTCATTTTTGCTGGCTGCAGGTTCTTGTCTCTCAGACCTGTAAGAAAACTAGAGCGGTAGAGCCCACTCCCACCCTTGGCCCAAGAGCTTCTCTCTGTACAAGGAGACCCTTGCTTTCTATGTTCAGACCATTCCCAAGGTTGTGGCTTCTTTTCCTCTGAGGCCTGACTAGGCCTAGAGGAAATGGGCAACATAGGGCAGGGAAATGTAAAGGATTCTCTTTGCTCCCCTCCTAAGGGACTGCAGCAGAGTCCCTCCCAGGTGACATCCCCATACTGGCTGTGGCCCTCCTCTCCTCTGAGAATTCTCCAAGTCCTCAAGCCCCACCAGCTAAGAGCGGGTCAGATCAAGAGAGTCAGCCCAAGCAGGAAGGTCTAGGCGAAGGAGGAAGGTCTAGCCTTGCACCAGTTCTGTCCCATGAGGCTGTAGGGGTCCAGATGCTAAATTCACAGAGCTGTTCTAAGGGAAACCATACTCCTGATGCCCCAGACATGTAGGGCAAAGCCTGGACCTCTGGCTGTCCTGACTGCTGTGCCATTGTAGGGCACAGAGCAACTGTAGGGGGATTCTTGGATCCTGGCACCAGCCCAAGGAGATAATTGGAGGTGTTGTGTTTCCCCACTTTACCTTCCCGCAAAACTGTCATCTTAGGAAATGAACATGCTCTAGCCTTGACCCTTTCCATCCTCTGCAGATCATCCAGGGCATAGAGCCACTCTGGTCCAGGTCAGTGTAGCCTTGACTGGAACAACCCTGCTGAGCTTCGGCTGCCTCGCACTAGGCCCAGATCTGAGTAATAGGGGTGGAGGCTCAGGGGCTTCCCTCTTTGCTTTAGGAAACCTGGGTAGGAGGTTTCCCCAGGGGCCCGGCTCCTGGATAGAGCACAGAGGCCAGAGTGAGCTTGTGACTCAGGATTCCTAGACAGTGCCCTCTCAGTAAAAACGTTCTAGAAGCTGATCTTGCTTCTGATCTTGGCCCATCCAGTCCAAGCCTGGCTGGAGGCAGAAAGGAGCATGAGGGAGTTAGATCTTGGGTCCAGCCCATGGAAATCTGGTGTGCCATCAGTTGTAGCCCTCTTTACACTGTGTGGAGCTATCTCAGGTTGGCATTTCCCACTTCCTCTCTGTTTGGACTGATGAGGTGAGTGGAACAGACCTGGGAAGGACTCATGTGGCTGGAGAGCACTGACATCTTCAGCCTGGCTCTTGAGACGCTGTGAGGAGCCCAGGGAGATCTTCTAAGCTGCTCTTCAGCATGAGGCCAAGTTCCATCCTCCCACAAGACTGGATGGCAGGAACTGGGGTTCCTCAGCAGCAGAGAGACGCAGGGCTAGACTGAAGGCCTCACCAGGAAAAGGGGCATGGGGAAGGTGGCAGGGAAAATGGCTATTCTCCAAGATGTAATCTTCCTTTTAAAATGAGGACGTTGGAATGGATTCCTCAATAGTTTTAGTTGCAGAATTAAACCCCAAACCACACACATTGGCCAGTGGCAATGATGCAGGTCTATACTTCCAGCACTGGGATGGCTGAGGTAAAGGACCACTGAGTTCAAAGCCAGGCTGAGCTATAGATAAACTGTCTCTCAAAAATACAAGACCTGGAGCTGGAGAGATGGCTCAGTGGTTAAGAGCACATGCTACTCCTGCAGAGGGTCCAGGCGCAGTTTTGAGCAGTCACACGGTGGTTCACAACCATCCTTAACTCCAGCTTCATCAGCTCCAACATCCTCTTTGGGTACCAGGCCTGCACAGAGTGCACATACATACATATAGGCAAAGCACTCATGTATGCTGAAAAAAATTCAGTGGCAGAGTACATGCCTAGCATGTAGAAGACCCTGGGTTTGATCCCCAGCACTACAAAAACAAAACAACAACGTGAATACATCAAACTGATAAAGGACCTTTTCCGGGGTGCAGGGGTTGGGTGAGCTTCAGACCCTGCCTCACTCATCCACTCAAGTATCCCCATGGCACCAGATCTTACAGAAAGAGCCTGTAGGAAAACACTGGGGTGGGGGTTGACTCTCTACTACCTGCCCCCTGCCCTGGTCTCTGAAATTCATGGTTTCTGCCCCTAGGTGCCTCTCTGGCCAGAGAAATATTCCGAGTATGGTTTTTTTAAATACGTTGGGAAGGGGTTTGCTGAGGACCAGACTTCCACTAGACACCTGTTTGCACATTGGACTCAATCTAGAGCTTGAAAATGAATAAAGCATCATCTTCTACACCGAACATAGCCCCAGAGGCTTAAGTGGGCTGTCCTGTGGCCTGAGCATTTTCCAGGTGCTTCTAATGTGCGTCGAGGACAGGGAGCAAAGGGTTAAATCCACATTGCCCCACCAGGCACAGCTATGGCTAGAAAGAGTGGACCTCAGAGCCTGGTCCTGATGTTGCTATTAATGTGATTTGTGACTCTGGGAAAATCACCTCCGCGCTCTCAGCCTCCATTGCCTCACCCTGGAGAATAAAGGGTTTCTCCCTTCCAACAGTCTCTCCACCCTTTGCAAACCAACTGTGCATCCACACAGTAGTGCTGGGGAAAGAGGCTGGGAACAGCAAAGGAAGCCGGTCAGGCCCGACACCGACACTGGTGAGCACTCCACACTCCAGCTTGCGGGTATTGATTCGCAAAAGCAAGCCAGACTGTTCCGGTGAGGCTGTTGGGGAGAAGCTGAGCTCCCTGATGCTGGAAGGAAGGAGAGTTAAGTTCCATGCAGAGGTGCTTGGACCTTGGAGGCACAGTATGGAGACTTTAAAGATCCTTCTGGGGCCAGTGAGAGGGCTCAGTTTGTAAAGGCCCCTGCCACCTCCAGAATCCACATGGTGAAGGGGGAGTCAGTTCTTACCAACTCTTGGAACTTTTCCTCTGAATTCCACATGAATACACACACGCACACACATGTACACACACACATGCACACCCACACGCACACACATGCATGTACATGCACATGTACACCCACATGAATTTAAAAAAAAGATCTTTCTAGATCTCATTGTCTGGGACTCAGCCAAAAGAAAGGTGGGAGTAGGGGATGATGTCAGTGCCGATAGATATGTTAGGGGTACTCCTGGGAGGTGCTCCTCACCTGTGCGGTGACAAACTGTAGCTTTGGGGACCTTGGAGTGGGTATACGCAGTGACCATTGCTTACCCAATCATAGTTTCTCACGTATCCTTGATTGGAGCATGCCGTGAGCTTTGTGTGGGGATCATGAGAAGGAAGGTGCAGAGCAACGAGGCGCTCACAGCTTAGGTCAGGAGGTGGGAGGGATAGAAGCACCCACAGCAGCCAGCCAGAAACTCTGCCAGCTCCCTTACCTCATGCTCAGAGCAGAGGGTTTTCAGGTCCCCAGGGGTTCCAGAGCTCTACTGTGGGGTCATCTTCAGGCCTGGTGTCCACCCAGTTCCAGGAGGGCAGCTGAGTCAAATGGTTTTCCTGGCTGCCTTGTTATTTCTTCTGAGTGGTTGTGTGAGATGGCATTTCTCACACACACTAGGCAAGACCTCATTGCTTTCACTTCATCTTATCCATCATCACTATCATCTTTGTCTGCATCATCATCGTCATCATCATCATCCCACCACCATTGTCATTTGGATAGCTGAGGATAAAGCCCAGGGCCTTGGGAATGCTGGGCAAGTCCTCTGCCAATGAGCCATACCACCAGCGCTTCTGAGAAAACGTGTTGCCTCTAGGTCTCTTCTCTTGACCAAGGAAGGAACTGAGGCTTAGAGAAGGGACAGCTGACGAGATCAGCTAGGATGCTATGAGTTCCGTCACCCTGCAGGGACCATTTTATAATGGTCCATGCAACCAACGAACAGAGATGTCTGTCACACTTCTACAGTCACACAGCTGATGAAGAAGGGCAGAGCCTAGGCTTGGGATCCAGGCTCTACAGCTTCAGACATGGGACATTGTACTTTTCAGTAAGTTGGGAGGACACAAGTTTAAAAGCGAAGTCTGAAGCCCTCAGTGTGGGCAACATACCAAGCATACAGCAGGTGCTCGCTGGGTGCTCACTCCCCATTGCATTCTGGGAGCCTCATTAGCTGTTGAGACAACCTATCAATGCTTATAGCCCTTCCTGTGACAACATGCTTAGGGCAGCCTGAGAGGAGGAAGGAAGGGAAGGCTCGGTTCCTCTGCCTCTGTTGGTAGTCGGTTGTATCCTTCCTCTCTGCTCCCTACCTACTTCCTGAATTTGTCTTGTACCCTCCTTCTCTCATGTCTGACCGTGGGACAGGAAAGACAGTTCACTTGGTAAAGTGTGAGGACTCGGTGAACTCCCTGGAACCCACATTGAGAAGAAAGCCCCATGCTGTGGCAAACCCTTGAGCTTGTAACCCCAGCTCAGGGAGGCAGAAACACGTGAGTCCCTGGACTTTCTAGCTGGCCAGCTTAGTCTACAGTGAGCTCTAGTCCAGTGGGACACCGGCCCTGTCTCAGAAAACAAGGTGGGCAGCTCCTTAGGAAGCTGGAGCTGTCCTCTAGTCTCCACCTACATAAGCACCCGTGTTCACGAACACGCACAGACACAGACACACACCACATGCATGCACACACGCACATATGCATGCACGTTCTGGTGGTAACTGCTGTCCAAGGGCCTCCGCTGTATTTCTTTTTCTTAATGTATTCATTTAATTTTATGTGCGTGGGTTTTGTTTATATGTATGTTTCTGTACCATGTGTGTGCAGCGTCCATGGAGTCCAGAAGAGGGTGTCAGGTATCCTAGAATTGGAATTATAGACAACTGTTAGCCACCATATGGGTACTGCGAATTAAACCATGGTCCTCTGAAAGGGCAGCCAGTGCTCTTAACCACTGACCCATCTTTCCAGACTGTTTTGATTTACATATTTAATTTCCCCCTTTCCATTTCTGTGTTTTCTTGCCAGCTTACCCAAGGCCCCTTTTATGCCTGGATCCCCCTGGAGTCAGCAGCGCCCCTTGTAGAGATGCTCATCTTTCTGTTGCACCCTGTTGCGTGCTCCCTGACTCTCTCTCTCCTGCATATAGGGTTTCTAGGCCCCCAGGAGCTTCGTGGTTTCGGTCTGCAGTGCCCTCCTGGGCTTTGTGGCTGGCTCTAGTGCTAGGCTGGCAGCCTCAGAAACAGCTACTTAGTGTGTGCTTATGTGAGCTTAAACCACCACAATAGGCTGATGACAGGGGCACTTCAAATTGTTTTCTGGAGGCAAGGACTCCAGAAAGCTTATCTTTGCGATGTCCTGATACTTTAGGGGCAGTCTTCAGTCTTACCTTTATCAACGTCTTCCGTCTCACAAAGAATCCCTTATCATCTCAGCTGAATAGGGAAACTGAGGCCTGGGAAATAAAACCGAAATACTTCCTGCCCCCCCCCCCCCAGATCCTTTCCTACTGTAGCTTACGCTACCCTGAAACTCAATATATATCCCAGGCTATCCTTGATCTTCTCTCTGCCTCCCAAGTCCTGGACTAAATGTCTTTGCCTCCATATTTTGCTCTTTTTTCTTTTCACCGTCCCTTTCTTCCTGCCATGTCTTCCAAGCCCACCTGAGGCACCTCTGGTACACTAGGCTGTCCAGTCCCTGTGTACATCCACCATGCCCCATTCCTGATAACAGGTCAGGAGGCTATACCTCAAACTCTGAACTCTGAAGCAGGGGAAGGGGGAGTGTTTCAAAGGAAGAGCCCCTATCCCACTGCCCTCAGTACCCAGTGACTCTTACAGACCTCTCTTTCCCCTTCAGGATGCTGCAGAGCAACCAGCTCCGAGGGATCCCAGCAGAGGCACTGTGGGAGCTGCCCAGCCTGCAGTCACTGTGAGTCATTGAGGGCCCACCTTCTTAGTCTGGGGCACAATCCAGGCCCTGCCTCACTGCCCCACTCACTGGTGCAGACAGTGCTCCTGGCTCTGCTTTCTTGAGGGTTTCATTGTCATAAATGTGTGTCCATGGCACTTGTTTGTTTGCAGGACTGTGGGAATGGAACCTCCCTAGGTAGGGCCACCAGGATAGCTGTCCTGGGGCCACTGGCATTCTGCCATGGGAGCTGGGTTGTGGGGTGGAGACTGGTGTCCCAAAGAAATACCAGGAAGGAGCTGTCTCCTCCTCTTAGCTGGCTTTTGCCCTGGGGCTCAGTAGGAGGAGTGGGGCCAGGTTCAAACACCTTCCCTCCTTGGTGGGGGTTAGGGAGTGGTAGGGGATACTGTGATCATAGACTCTGGGCCACCCAGGATAGATCCCATCTCCAGGGAACCCTGCAGTTCCCCTTTTACCCAGCAGGGAAATCATGGCAGCAGGACTAAGCCTGTCCATGGACGTGGGAATAGGTACCAGGGTCAGGGAAGCTGGTCCTACCCACCTATTGGGTTGAATGTATGCTGTGCCCAACACAGGGCTGGGAACATGGTAGGTGCCTCACATCTGCTTATAGAAGCCAGTTGAAGTTTTGGTTGCATCTCTAGCCATCCAGTGGCATGGACACATATTTTGGGGAAAGTAAAAGTTGGAGCATAGAACTCAGGTAGCATGCCATTTAGCCTGCTGGAACCTAGGCATGAGTGGTGAGTGTATAAAACCAGGCTTTCAGTGTCCTTGGCTGTAGGTTCTGCTGTGGAGAACGGTGCCTAGAGCACGGATGTGGGAATCAGACAGTCTTAACATGTCATGATTGTCCCTGAGCAGGAGGGAGGTAGGGAAGGTGGCTTCTCTTTGGATTCTACCTTTAAATCAAGGCTCCCTGGCTCGTCACAGCCACCACTGTTTTGGCTTTCTTCCCTGTGAGTACATGGGTCTACACTGCTTCTGTTGCCTGAGTATTCTGGGCGGTAGAACTTCTTCCCCCTCCCCCATTCTCTCATCTGTCTGCCCTCCATCCAAAAGGGTCTAGGCCTCTGGCCCCAGTGGCCTCTCCCTTCATCTAGCAGGATAGGTGGGCAGGATGCCCTGGAGGCCAAGGTCAGTAGCTGAAAGCCAGGAAAGCCTGTGTGTGCCGTCTTGCCGGCAGACTAAACATTTGCTTAGGACACCAGCAAAGAGTTGGGAGAGCCAAAAATAAGAGGTGGTACGTGCAGTGGGGGGAGGGGTGACATTTCAATCAAAGCATCAAACGGACTCGTAGGAAAAACCTGGACTTATTTGGAAGTTAAGTCATTAATTAAAAGAAAAAAGTGAGTCACACCGTGTGCTGGAGGTCCCTGAATGTCCTGCTTTCAGGACAGGCCTGGCACTTCTCGTTAGATGGGCAGTTACCCTCATGCTTTCTGAGAGTGGGCTGCTCTGTAGCTTGTGGGAGTAGAGCATTCACCCTGGCCCCATTGCACCCTCTGCTTAGGCAGATGAAGGCAGAAACCAAGGCAGATGGTTGGGTCTTGCCTCTTACGGTCCAGAGAACACCAGCCTGCCAGGCAAAGGTTGGCTTCAGACTGTGCCTCTGATCCTGACTACATGCCTCAGTTTCTCTATCTGCAAAGTGGGAATCATGATCTTACCCTGCCCACCTCCAAGGGCTTTCCTGAAAAGAATCCATTTGAGATGGGTAGAGAAACAGAAGGCTCAGCACAGCTGTTCATCTAACCAGTCATCAGCTTGTTCATTTCAAAGTATTTCTGAGGCTGTACTGAGTCAGCAAAATGTGATTTAGTTCTTGAAGGTCCAGAAAATGTCAATCATGTGAAGAAGTAGGGAAGGATGCAGTGGGCAGAGGGACTAGAGGAATTAAGGTAGAGAGGTAAAGAGGGAAGAGACTGGGTGAGCATTAGGGAATTTGGCTGAACTCTGTGTGTGTGTTTGTGTTGTGTTGTGTTGTGTTGTGTGTGTGTGTCCTTAGTCAGGGTTTCTATTCTTGCACAAACATCATCACCAAGAAGCAAGTTGAAGAATAAAGGGTTTATTCAGCTTACACTTCCACATTGCTGTTCATCACCAAAGGAAGTCAAGACAGGAACTCAGGCAGGTCAGGAAGCAGGAGCTGATGCAGAGGCTGTGGAAGGATGTTACTGGCTTGCTTCCCCTGCCTTGCTCAGCTTGATTTCTTAAAGAACCCAAGCCTACCAGCTCAGGGATGGCACCACCCACAATGGGCCTTCCCACCCTTGATCACTAATTAAGAAAATGTCTTACAGCTGGATCGCATGGAGGCATTTCCTCAAGGGAGGCTCCTTTCTCTGTAATAACTCCAGCTTGTGTCAAGTTGACACACAAAACCAGCCAGTACAGTGTGTATGCATGCAATTGTGCATGTGTATGCATGTGTACAGTGACTTGCATGTGTGTGTATGTGTACGGAAGAGTAATGAGGAAGTACCCAATGTAAGGACTTCAAATGGCTGGGGTTATATCCTGAGCTTTTGGAAAGTGGAAGACTCAAGAAAAGACCCCGCTCCAGACATCAAAGGAAGGTGTCACAACCAAATTCAGTCCTCACCATGTCAGGTACCTACAGTAAGACTATCTTGTTTTAAGACAAGAGGACAAACGTAGCCGAGCTCACTGCCCATAGGCCTGTGTATCACCCCCATGTGTCATATCTACCATGTGGCTTCCCCGTCACCTTCCTTAACAAGTGTCCCAGCTAACTGATGAGGGGACCTGCAGGAAAGTTTTAGGGCTATCCAAGGTAGAGTTGTTGAGGCATAGGCAGGAATATTTCAGCTGTGGGATTCCAAAGCCCATGAGAGAGACTACCATTGATCAAGACCCTTCTCCTCTTCCCAGAGCAGGAGCAAATGACAATGTCCTGCTTTCTGTTGGAAGCTGGTGCATCAATGAGGTACAGGGGCATGTCTCTTCCTATGTTCCCCCATAGTGTGAGCTGTCCTTCTTAGAGCAGGCAAGATGCCCAGAGGGGCTCATGCTATCTGACACCTCCATAAAGTGGCATCTCTGTCCCCCTGAGCCATGCTCAACCCTCGGTCAGGCATGGTTCTACCTTCTACCAGCTAGAAACAGACACAAGGAACGGGAACTAGGTATGAGGAGTCTGGTGTGGGTCTGGAGCGGGCAGGAGCAGCCAGCCTGCATCCCAGGGTCCATGTACTGAGTTGGATGTGGCACATGAGCTATTTGGTTTGGCACCTGGGCTGGCAGCACCTAACCCCCTAGCACTCTCCTTTGCACACACTTACTTCCTCTCTGACCAACATGGGAGGGGTACAGCCACACCAGACATGTCATGCCAGTCGTGAATCCAGGCCAAGAGAAACCACTGGAAGCCAGTGGAGCCTGGGGCTGAATAGAAACACAGTAGGGGTGAGGCCGGGCGCTGGGGAGGGCCCACAGAAAAGCAGAAGCAGGGCCTTCAAAGGCAGTGCCAGGTTAGGCTGGGGCTGGGGATCTCAGGCAGCACAGTGGAGAAGGGGAAGAAGACAGAAAAAATAGCCAGTCTTAGAAGCTCAGGCTTCTAAGGGGAGTGTTATCACCAAGGACAGCCACACAGGATGACCCCAGAGAAGAGACTCAAGAGTAAAACTGAGACCCTGGGATCCAGTCATCCATCTGAACCACAGAAGCCACTTGCTACTCAGAGGAAGAATGAGGACAGAAGGGAACTACTAGGCTATGGGGGAAAGCCAGAGAGGAGAGCTCACTTGGCAATGGCCATTATGCCAATCTTGAACACTCCCAGGTAGCTCCCAGGTAGTTATGACCATTTTGTAGATGAGGCAACTAAAGCCCAGAGAAGTTAAGTAGCTTACTTGAGGTCAAAACAGCTAGGCTTGAACAGAGGTGGGATTTTGCTTTAGTTCAGACTCCATAGTACCAAGGTCTTCCCTCTGTCCTTAATACCTTTTCAAAGTTCTCACACCTTAGGATGCAGAGATTTGGGTTCAAGTCTTGACTTTATCACTAGCTGTCAATCATCTCTCCTCTTTGAGCCTAGGATTCTCTATTTCTAAGATGAGAAGGTCAAATAAAATTACTGGACAGCCAGGCTTCCAGAAGATCTTCTTGGCCGACGATAACTTCCTGATAGGGCGTCTGGTCCTGATCTGGAATATCTGACAAATTCTGAGACTTGTTCGTGTTGGGTCTCACTTTCACTGTCTGTGCTATGACCAAGTTCCCTAGGAAGTTTGCATCTAGCATCTTGGGAACCCAGCAGAGTTGGAGAGGGAGAAGAAAGACTTGTGTTCAGGAGAAAATAATGGAGCCTGTGAGTGTTCAGTCCCATGGCAGATGTCTCCTGCGCACAGGAGTAAGAGGGGATCCTGGGAAAGATAAAACAGGTGCCCCCTTCTGCATACTGTGACCTACTTTGAAGGGACAGCTGCACACAGACAAATGCTACGGGCCAGGCTAACAAGAGCAGTGTGCAGATGACACTTGCTGTGTGACAGTCTCTTGCACCTGTCGGTCCTCACAGCACTCCTGAGGGACCAGTGCTACCCCTGCTTTCCCTCCTCGATCCACAGATGAACAGCCCGAGGCACAGAGAGGTGATGTTATTTCAGTAGAGCCACCATCAGATCTAGCGTCTGCCAATATATTAGCTTTGTCGCTGAGAACTCTTAGCCTTGGTGAGAACCTGAAGACTTTTCTAGAGATGGTACTAGCTTGCTATGCCTAGTGACCATGCTTTTGGAGGGTGCACTGAGACTCCAGGAGTTGATCTGTAGCTCTGCTTACAGTCCTGGCACATAACATGGGGCAGAGGAGGGTCCACAGGAATCTTCTAGGCTGACTGTAGGACTTTCCTCTCTATTCATAGGCAAATTGTCAGGAGGCTCCTGGGGAGTCTTGGGTGGTCTCCAAGAGCCCAGTTAAGCCTGGGATAGGGATGGGGCATTCCCTCTGGGGGACATTCTCCTGGGTCTCCTGAG